AGATGTGGAATGCACATCTCATGGGAAGATTTTTCTTGCAATTAAAACAAATCTAGTGACAGAGTCCCTTTAAGGCCCCATTCACAGCAGGGTGACCGCGTTTAAGCGTTGTTTTCACATGGTTTTTATGCGCATTTCAGCCTGCATTACAGGCGTTTTTTAAACGAATTTTCAGTTGTCCAATGAGAAGCAGGCTCAGCTGCTGGAACACGCATTAAAACCATGCAGAATCAGCGCGTTTCCATTGAAGTCTATAGAGCAAAACGAGCCGATCAGAGCGGCAAAAGAAGCTCAGGGACCATTTCAAAACAACAGGCGTATTTGTACTCGCGATTCTGCGCTTTTGCGTGAACGGCCCCCCTAGGAACGTATAGGATTTTATTTGAGTGCATTTCAAACGAAACCGCCCTGGTGAGAACGGGGTCTTAAGGTCCGTTCACACCAGAAGCAGTGCGTTCCAGCCCGATTCTGGCCAGAACACACTGCCTCACATTGCAGGCGGCTCACCTTTTGTGGGGCAGGAGGGGGCGTGGCGGGCAATTGAAGTGACTGGCACCGTAGCCACGCCCCCCCGGCCGCAAGGCACGTTATGCCTGCGGTCCTTTTCAGTGAGATCAAAATGCTGCAAGCACTATTTTGATCGCACCGGCCTGCAGCCATAATGTGCCTTGCGATCCTGTGCGGCCGATCGCATTGCGGCCGGAGGGCGTGGCTAGCAAGCACTATTATGATCGCACCAGACCCGACGTGTAATGTGCCTTGCGATCCCGTGCGTCCCATCGCATTGAAGGCTACGGTGCCATTCACTTCAATGGCCCATCACGCCCCCTCCTGCCCCACAAAAAAAAAAAAGTGAGCCGGTCGCAATGCGAGGCAGTGCGTTGTGGCCAGAACCGGGCCGGAACGCACTCCAACTGGTGCGAACGGGGCATTAGAGGTGCAGTTAAGCATACACGAACAAACAATAAGACTCGAAATCCCCTTTAAACCGGTGTTAGTTTATTTTCTGTATAAAGAAACAAGACAAAAACAAATAATAATAAATGATGCAAAACACCAAATCTGTATTTACAAAAATCATTCTGTGATTCACATGAGATAAACATAACTTAAGCCAAAAAACAAAAAATATAAATTAAAAATAAATCCGGATGTTTTCCAACAGAAAATGAAAAAAAAAAGCACTGAGAAAAAAAATAAATATGAAGGCGAGGGAGTCAAGGAGGAATATGCAGCAGATATCCCGTAACACTGAACAAACTGGTATATAGGAGTTAGGAGGAGGAGCCAAGCGTTGTAGATTACGTCATGTGACTTCCAACGATGCGGCCAGGTATGAAGAACTAATGAGAACGCTGGGATTTATAGTTCACCACTCTTATATCAGGAGTTTGTCTATTAGCTCACATCTACATCCTAATGTCACGTTTGCTTCCGATTGGTCGCTGGGCTGCCTGTAGTTCTATTAGACGGGGCCGAGTCCTGCACATTAGATTAATCTGTGTGGCATGTCTTGGCATTGGGATTCCCAATTCATCCAACCCCATTAAAATGAAAGCTGGTCAGTCGCTTTGGGTTACTACGCTATGCAGATCAATATTGTCCTGTATTATATTTGTCTTATAGAGGGAGCCCTGGCTCCTCCGGGAAAGTGGAGAAAGAAGCCCTGCCCCTCCCCCCCCCGGGAAAGGGGAGCCCTGGCCGCCCCCCCCGGGAAAGGGGAGCCCTGGCCGCCCCCCCCGGGAAAGGGGAGCCCTGGCCGCCCCCCCCGGGAAAGGGGAGCCCTGGCCGCCCCCCCCGGGAAAGGGGAGCCCTGGCCGCCCCCCCCGGGAAAGGGGAGCCCTGGCCGCCCCCCCCGGGAAAGGGGAGCCCTGGCCGCCCCCCCCGGGAAAGGGGAGCCCTGGCCGCCCCCCCCGGGAAAGGGGAGCCCTGGCCGCCCCCCCCGGGAAAGGGGAGCCCTGGCCGCCCCCCCCGGGAAAGGGGAGCCCTGGCCGCCCCCCCCCGGGAAAGGGGGAAAGGGAGCCCTGGCCGCCCCCCCGGGAAAGGGAGCCCTGGCCGCCCCCCCGGGAAAGGGGAGAAGGGAGCCCTGGCCCTGGGAGGGGAGAAGTTCACACTTCATACTCGAGTCTCCCAAGTGTGCATACACTGCTATGCAATAAGCTAGCATAGAATAGTATGAGGGCCTACAAGACCCCGTGCAGGAATTTTGTCCCCAAGTATTCTGTAGTGACAGGACTAGTGTGTCATGCTTCCAACCCAAATCAAGCCATTTTTATTGTGGTCTGCCTGTTCACATCACCTCCTCCCCCTCACGTCCTATTCTGACACATGGGGTAGAAATCTTTGAAGATAAGAAATGATGGATGTGCCAATCCACTAGCCAGTGTCTAGAATGGTCCTCCTTAGACTTAAGAAGCAACATGTTTTTAGGGGCTACTAGTCCCCCTTCTTCAGGGATGCTGGTGAAAAGCTAATGGCTCTGAAAGCAGTCCAGACTTTAGAAGGACCACTTCTCAGGCCCTTTAGGGGGACTTTTGTAGCCACTGAAACACTTTGGCTTTCCTTTGTTGACTGCTACGTCTATGGCAGAGCATTCTAGACACCAGACAAGTCGGCTGGTACATCTGTCGTTCCTAACCTTCAAAGATTTCTACGAGGATTACCTGTAAGGCCCCTGCATGGATAGGGAGCTGCCAACTAAACCCACCAATGACTATCAGGTCACATCCCCACTAATCCCTCAACCCAAGGGCCCAGCGCTCCTCCTTTGTACTATTACACAAGCAATAAAAACCTGATCTCTCCAGTGGGGACAGAACTGATAAACAATGCATATTAAAGTAGGAAAGAGCTTCTATTGCCATCTCTGTGGCCACTGGGGGTATCTCCCCTCATTTTTTGTTCTTGCACCCATCAAAAAAAAAAAAAAAGACAGAAAGTTAACAGAAATATCAATGTAAAGAAAAAAAAAAAGCATCTAGCCCAGTGTTTGTCAACTTACAAAGGACAGGGGACCCTGAAATGTGGCACCTGACATCACCAGAGCGCCACCACAATGTGCGGTATATGTAATGCTGTTAGAGGACTACAGTCAGACTACAGACATACGACAGGAAGTGGCGGTCAGAGACAGGTTTGGTTGGAGACTAGAAATATACTGCAGGAGACAGTGAAGGACACTGGGGACATATAACCTGAGGCTAGTAGAGATTACTGGCATAAAAAATCAATGTTTCCACTCCCAACTTCACACTGCTGGGGTCCTAGCAATGCAAAAAAAGTACCAAAAGGGATGCATGTGGACCTTGGGGCCCAGATCGGGCACCTGGGTTCTAGCCCACCCCTATAATAAAAAACTAAAACTAGACTGACTTTTAAAGGGGGCTTCCAGCACAATGGATATTGTAATGGCTTCCTCATACTGCCCGGTATTTCCTAAGTCACTTGTTCTCTGCCAGAGGTATTTCAGTTGCCTAGGACAGGCCACACAGCTACCCTTTAGGGAGAGAATAGTGATGCTGTACCCTAAGGCAGGGATAGACAAACTCTGGCCCTCCAGCTGTGGTACAACTACACATCCCATTAGGCATTACAAGACTGATAGCCACAGGAATGATGACCACAGGCATGATGGATTTGTAGTTTAACCACAGCTAGAGGACCAAGGTTTGCCTACCTCTGCCCTAGGGCAACCAAAACACCATCTCTAGCACCTCATCAGTGTCTTATAGCCTAAAGAAGGTAGATAAGGGTGAAGAACTCAGGCCAGGTCACTGCGAGCTTGCTTCACTACTTATCATTGACCTGGAACAAGTAAAGCAGGTCAGGAGCTCAATCCCTCACAGAAAACTTGTTCCAGGTCGGTGAAGTAGGACTTGAGAAGCGCAGTGAACACTAAACATGGCGCCCATGCTCCTCATAAATCTGTCCTGACAAGTTCCTTTTAGTGACCTCACGCAACCAAGGATCTATAAAACTCCCAAATACCAGCAAGAAGGGTAGCAAGGCCGCTAGTGCAAAAAGAGGATACCGAGCCACAGGAACGGTCACAGGTCATGGCATCAGTGTTTAAATAGTGTACAGTGACCAAAACCAACATTTTCTGGAAAGAAAAGCAACAGCACCGAGGAGGACCGTAACGGGCCTTCGTATGAGGGTACCCCGCTGATTCAAATGGACAGCTCCAGAAAGATGCCCATTACAGTACAACCTGAAACCTCCCGCCCCAATCCAGCTTCAAGGATCAGTAGACCTATAACCAAAAGGCACTTGATTTGAAATAAAAAATTGTCTCCAATAAGGTTTGTAACACCTTCCCATTCCCGAACAGAAAATCAGATATTACATACAAGTTTTCCCAGTCCCCACCCAGGTTAGCTGCCAATTTGGGCTCAAGAAGGGCCACAACTAACACTCGGCAGCAATTTCTTTTATGGAGTTACTGAACAGGAAGGCGGTCGTAGGTGGACTGCCTAAATCCCAAGTTCTGCCAAGTCTCTGGAAGGTTTACAGATTCATCCAAAAACTTGTTTTCCGTAAATCGACCCCAAAATGTAAAGGCAGATCAGGCCAGGTCCACAATGAGGGTTTGGTGAGCAGGTCCGACTTGAGGGTCAAAATAACAGCAACAGTTGTAGGGAGGGGGGGAGTACAGTGAACAGTAACAGCGCTAGTCCAAGGCACGGAAGAAAACTGACCAAAAAAAACGGGAAAAAAATAAAAAAAAGCCAAACAAAAAGGTTTCGTTTTTCCATCTATACCTGAGGTATCTATATACAAATACAGTGGCCCATCAAAAACAAAACAAAAAAAATTCCATCTGATACTTTTTTTATCCATTTGTCGATCAAGTCAAAGAGACGGGAACCCAAAATTGTAAATTAGCCACTTCATTAAGGAACAACAAAAATGTCAGCCCCTGTAAAAGAGACAAGAGGGGCGCTCAAGTACACAGAAAGGAGTCTCCCATATTTGGTAATTTTTCTTTAGACGGTAAGTTTTCGCCCGAAAAAAAAACAAAAAAAACCCAACATAGATCTCTATGCATTGTACATTCCCAGAGATTTGACTTCAGCAGGGACGCCTTCCGGCACAACTTCCAAAGAAACAAAAAGGTAAAAAAAAGTTTAGTGTCGCTCGATAGTACAAATCACAGCTTGCGTAGGAAGAAAGGCTCCGGCACAGAAGAAAGGTAGCAGCTTGTGAGCACTTTGTCAGGATGCTCCGGTATCTTCCTCAGCCCTGGAAAAACAAGAGGAACAGTCATTACATTGTTTGAACAGATATATATCTATCCATCGTGTCTATCTATCCATCGTGTCTATCTATCCATCGTGTCTATCTATCCATCGTGTCTATCTATCCATCGTGTCTATCTATCCATCGTGTCTATCTATCCATCGTGTCTATCTATCCATCGTGTCTATCTATCCATCGTGTCTATCTATCCATCGTGTCTATCTATCCATCGTGTCTATCTATCCATCGTGTCTATCTATCCATCGTGTCTATCTATCCATCGTGTCTATCTATCCATCGTGTCTATCTATCCATCGTGTCTATCTATCCATCGTGTCTATCTATCCATCGTATCCCATATCCATCGTATCCCATATCCATCGTATCCCATATCCATCGTATCCCATATCCATCGTATCCCATATCCATCGTATCCCATATCCATCGTATCCCATATCCATCGTATCCCATATCCATCGTATCCCATATCCATCGTATCCCATATCCATCGTATCCCATATCCATCGTATCCCATATCCATCGTATCCCATATCCATCGTATCCCATATCCATCGTATCCCATATCCATCGTATCCCATATCCATCGTATCCCATATCCATCGTATCCCATATCCATCGTATCCCATATCCATCGTATCCCATATCCATCGTATCCCATATCCATCGTATCCCATATCCATCGTATCCCATATCCATCGTATCCCATATCCATCGTATCCCATATCCATCGTATCCCATATCCATCGTATCCCATATCCATCGTATCCCATATCCATCGTATCCCATATCCATCGTATCCCATATCCATCGTATCCCATATCCATCGTATCCCATATCCATCGTATCCCATATCCATCGTATCCCATATCCATCGTATCCCATATCCATCGTATCCCATATCCATCGTATCCCATATCCATCGTATCCCATATCCATCGTATCCCATATCCATCGTATCCCATATCCATCGTATCCCATATCCATCGTATCCCATATCCATCGTATCCCATATCCATCGTATCCCATATCCATCGTATCCCATATCCATCGTATCCCATATCCATCGTATCCCATATCCATCGTATCCCATATCCATCGTATCCCATAGCATTGGCCAGCTTGTAATGGGACCTTTCCTGTAAAGCCAAAATATACTTCCAGGTATCACTGCCCTGCTCAGTGTAAAAGGAAAGCTGCCATACAAGTGGAGTTGATGCTACTCGGGGTTTAGGATACTTCGCAACAAGATGATAAGTGACTAACCATAATTGATGCCAAACAACCCACCAATGGGCTTCTCTAGAGTGAGGAATGAGCAGAATTGTTGCCATTTAAAAGGAGATCCATGAGGCAAGTGATTTTCACTCATCCTCAGTTCGAGCCGACGTGTGACTATTAAACTGTCAAATGCACCTGTTAATGAATTCTGAACGATCTCAGAAGCGTCTCACTGATGCCATTGACACAAAGTCCAAAGCCCATCTGCACAGACCTATCGCAGTAATGAGCCTCCCAGAGTGCGCTCATTGGGTCTGTAGCCTGTACCCCTCTTCACCCTGCCCAAAAGAAACCTGCTATTGGGGATCAAAGCGGGGTCTGTTCACTCTTTGTGAAAATGTATTTATTTATTACTATGCGACTATTATTAATGCTAATAAGTATTTAAAGGAGAACTATGAGGCGAGTGAAAATCACTCAGCCTCATAGTTCGAGCCGACGTGTGACAATGAAACGGTAGAAAATAGATCGGGAAGTGAGCGAACACATACCGGCGCTCGCTCACTTCTCGATCATGTCCCTGCAGAGAGCCGTGACTGTCACTCACAGCTCCCTGCAGGGATTCCCCCCCTCCGATCATCCAGCGCTGACTGGCGGAAAGGACGGGGGAGGGGGCGGGTACAGCTGGCTCTGCCTCTAGATAGGCAGAGCCAGCTGTCACACAGCTGGTTGGATCTCGACAGTAATATCGGGATCCGTCCCGGCTGCGGCGGTCTCAGTATACCGTGAGCTCTAGCTCACGGTATACTAAGCTTTGGGTGACGGGAGGACGCTAGTTTGTGTCCTCCCGTGACCCTGAGGAGAACTATGGGGAAAAACACTGACCCCACAGTTTTCCTTTAACCAAGATGGATCTGTAAAAAAGTTGGCACTAAAAGGCAACCATTGAAAAGCACCGGTCACCCACCTACAAAGAAGGCAGCCATGCTATGAAGAAGGCTGCTTTCCCCCCCCAAGCTTCATAACCTACAGTGATCCAACAACCTAAACAAGGTTTCATCCAAGTGACCACTGTCCCCATCTGTGGCCGGTACTCTTGAGAGCCTACATCTGAATGATTGCTTTGGGCTACTGCTGATTGTTACCCTTTAATAAGAGGTTTCAACATACCCTTTAAGTGGTCTTTTCATTCGGTCCAAAGCCTCGTTTTGCTATCCGTTGATACAACGGAGTGTGCTTCACTGCGGGCAGAAAGAAAAAAGTGATTGTTAGATAAGAAAAAAACAACAAAAAAAACCAGAGCATGATCAGCGAGTTAAAACAAGAAAAAAAACCTTAACTGATAATTTACTTCCTAAAAATAATGAACAAACCAGAAACATTAACACAGAGATCAGAGGCTTCTAATACGTTGCCAATGGCTCCTTTGATTTCAGTCACTGGCAAGTGAATTCTACTCTGCCCTCCCCCCTGATCTGCTCACATGCTTAAAGCTGAACTCCAGGCACAAAAACAAATTTAAATATATTCCTAAAGAGCCACATAGAGACGAATCCATTTTGTGTGTTACAAATGTGTTTGAAAACACAGATATGACCTTGCAAAAGTGACAGGGTCTCTTAAAGGTCCAGCCCGCTTATATTAACTTACGCATCGTTCCCTGCTGACCCTTCCTCTGCTGAAGCCTGCCGCGAAAAGCCCTGGAGGTCATTGTCAAAGCTTACACTGAGGCCATGGTCACTCAGTCATGGGACAGTACTCGAACATAGCAATCCTCTGCTAGGCATGGGCACAGCACCATGAGAGGAGGTCACATGTCACCCATACCTGGGAACACCAAGTATTTTGCAGCAATCATCCGCTAGGCATGGGCACAGCACCATGAGAGGAGGTCACATGTCACCCATACCTGGGAACACCAAGTATTTTGCAGCAATCATCCGCTAGGCATGGGCACATCACCACGAGAGGAGGTCACATGCTCACCCATACCTGGGAACACCAAGTATTTTGCAGCAATCATCTGCTAGGCATGGGCACATCACGAGAGGAGGTCACATGCTCACCCATACCTGGGAACACCAAGTACTTTGCAGTGACTGACAGAGCACAGTGAAAAGGAATATAATGTTGGCTTTAAAGAGACCCTGTCACCTTGCCCTAAATGGACACTGTGACATGGTCTCCAAGTCAAAGTTTAATAATCAAATTGGGTTATAAAATATTTTGCACATCTGTCAGTCTTAGTAGCCAGTATCACCAAATAAAAAAAGACATCAAAACACAGAACTAAAAACGGAAAGCAATACAGATTACAAAGGAGGTGTGGTAAAAAGAAACCTAGCCTATGCCAATCCCATGTACCCTCTCTGGCAAATTGTACAAGTGTAAACAATTGCCGTGCACTCTACCGTACTGTACTTCCCATCATTTTAACAAGATTACCTTCCATTGCAGAAGTAGATCCCTGACCAAGAGGTGTATTGGGGATTCGGTATAATGACCCAGCAGCCGCGTGTTCATAGAATTTCAGGACTTCACGAGGGTCTAACTCGTATGGGTGAGACACTTTGTTGGGTAATTGAGGGTTGATCAACTTGCCAAGCGCCATTTCCGGACCAATAACACTGGCCTGGCCGGATTGCAGTCTCTTGACCACCTCGGGATTCAAGTACTGAGTAGCGATAGAGTTTGACATATTGTGCTTTACTCGTTTGGTGAAGGGTTCACCAAGTTCTGGATAAGCCATTCCAGGCCGGTTGAAAGGGTGCTCTCCAGACCACATCGGTACTATGGGATAGGGACGTTCAGTGGCTGCCGTTGTATTGCTCTTCTGACTGGTAGGATTCCACTGAGGATTTCTTTGCTCAGGCTGTGGCATTCTCTCTAAAAGGTGCGTGATGCCTTGCAGGTCCGGCTGCATGGATCTATAATTTCTGACTTGCTGGCCATTTTGTTGAACAGTCTGAGGTTTATTCTCCTGAATGGGATGAGGTTTATTCTCCTGAATGGGATGAGGTTTATTCTCCTGCTCCACACTTGGCGGATTCACAGCTTTGTTCGCCTGAGCCGGTGCCCGCTTTGGTTTCTCGTTGACCTTGGTCTGGGACGCTGGGCGACCCTTCGGCCTGGGGGTCTCCAGCTGTAACGGGGACACGTCCACACCCTTTAATGCTGGAGGACAACCGGTGCGTCTCATTTTCAACACGAGACCCGGGTTTTTCCCTCTGACCCCAGCTTTATGAAGAGGTTCGTAGTTCTGTTTGTGGGTGAGTCTTTGGTGCATTGACAACACTTCTGGATATAAGGTTTTGTAGGTGCAGTAAGGGCAGGTGGGCGTGGCCAGTAAGGCACGGTTGTATAACTTGGTTGACACCTTCTTGGCAGATTTTGTACACAAGTCCATGGGGGCCGGATCATCCTCTAAAACGGGGTCCAGTTTGAGGTCATTATTTTGGTCCGTTGAGGTTGCCTCCTCCATAAAATAAGGATCATCATCCAGGGTTTCCGCACAAGCCAAGGAAATCTCTTCCTCTCCATCTAGAGGTGGAGTTGGGGTTTTCGGAGGTTGGCAAGGAGTAGCCGCCCTGGCCTCCTCTTTCTTCACTTTCACAGCTTCCGTCTTCTCAAGAGCCACTAATTGATTTTTCAGGCCCCGTTTCGCATTGACAAGTGTGTTGCGCAGAGCAGACATGCGTTTTGGTGGTTTGGCCATCAGCGGATCCTCTTTGTCATCATTTATGGGTGGTTCGGATATATGGTTCTCCTGGGGTTGGACAATAGCAGCAGGTGGTTCAGGCAATTTCTTAAGAAGCTGTAGGTTCTTGCTGATGCTTTTCACTCGAGCGTTGGACTCTCCCGGTTTGAACTTGTGGTGTCTCTCCAAGTGATACCTCAAGGAGGTCTTCTGGGCAGCAGCGTAGTCACAAAATTCACATTTGTAAGGTTTTTCACCTAGAAACATAAGAGTAGAATATTAGACTCTGGCTTTGATAAACAAATATATAGTCACAATGAGAACTTGGGCAAAGTTATTTGGAGACTCCTGCTGACTTCTGCTCCGGAGAGAATGGAAACACCTTTGTCATCTGAGACAATTGAATATTTATCACTAGGCGGATGAAGTCAGCGCTTAGCTTGCCAACACAGCATAGCAGACAGCAGGTGGAGCTCCTCCTGGCTGGATGACCCAAGGCATCATCAAGCCCCCGGTCAGCTCATATTATACTAAGCCACTGCTCATTATTGGAGGAGCTTGCTTTGCCTTGGTCAGAGGGCTACTGCTCAATATGCACAGTGACTTGACCTTGTCCGCCATTAAAGATCAGTAAGCTGCCATCTGGCCCTGAGCAACTCGGCCCACTACGCACTATACTGAGGCTTTAGATTTCTGACTAATGCCAAGAGTAACCGCTCCGAGGGCTGAGCTCTTTAACTCCAGGAGCAGGCTTAACTCATAGTTAGGCAGAAGCATAAGCCCCCCTGTATATTGTGAACTCAGAGACCAGAGCTCTCCAGGTATATCAGATTCATTACCATATTGTGTTAATAGGGAACCTGTTTCCTTACTATGCATCCACAAAGAACACATTTGTAGAGGGTTTTCTTGTTGCCATTTACATACATTTAGAACATCTCTGCAATACAAACACAATCCTCTTTGTCTTGTCACTTAACATAAGCTGCAAGTACAGAAAAATAACTTTTGATTGGCTAGAAATCCACTGAGCTCCTAACTTCCTGTTGAGTAAAAAACAGTGCCTTGGCTGCATGAAAATCCCAACCAGCATTGTCATCCAAGCCTGAGTAGTCTTGTTGACCACAGAACACCACCACTCTCCTTATTTCCATAACATCTGTGAGAGGTGTTCTGTAGACCACCAGGAATAAACTGGGCAGGGTTGACAACACTGGTTGGGATTTCAGCGCAGCAAAGGCAGCGTGTTGTCAGCTCAAACAAGGAGCTAAGCCCGTGACACACTGCATGCAAAGCCATGTAGAGCAAAGCAAAGCTGTCAGGCACGGAGCTTAGCATGCAGCGTGTGAGCCGAGTGCAGCCAGATGAATGACTGCATCTTCAGCCAATCAGCTCGCACGTAACAACCGGATGGACTTTGCATTGTGGCACACGGGTTTATACGTGCGAGCAGATTGGCTGAAAATGACATTTTTCATCTAGGCACGCTCAGCTAGGAGAGCTCTCACAAGCTGAAGTGCCAGAGAGAAAATGACATGACTCTGCATGCAAAAGCAGCGTGCCACCGATATGCGCGTCAGCGTCTCACCATCTTTCTGGCAGGAGAAGTTTGAAGGCTGGCCGCAGGCTAGCCTGGATTTGTGGGAGGAGCCTGTGCCTTTAAAGACGGCACGGCTCACAGGGAATTACGTCGGCGGGTCACGAACGTCCCCACCCGCCCATTCCCCTTGCTTTCATTCATTAATTTCATTTACATTCAGAGTATGCCCCCTTTTAGGCATACTGACCTAAGGCCAAGGCACACCACAGGCCATGGGGCGGGGGGTGGCGGGGTGTCACTTACTTGATAAGGCTCGGACCACAAATGTATTTTTATGTAGTTTCAGGGTTTTTAAACAGATAAAACATTTGGGAAACGTGCAATGTTGCAGAGATGTACCCAATCACTTTGATTTTACATGCACTGGAAGGCTTACAATGGCACTCTGTGGGTATGTGGGTAACCCGACCAGTGGATTTGTTGGGGCGTCCTTACCTGTGTGGGTCCTGAGATGTATATTGAGGTAATAGTTGGAACGGAAAGACTTTCTGCAGTAGCCACATTGTCTGGAGGTTGGAAGGCCTTTCATCTGGACAACTGATTGATCATCCTCATTTTTATCTATGGGGGGGAAAAAAAAAAGTTAATTATAAAATTAAAAATACTACAAAAAATGTGCTTTTCTAAAAGTAAAAATCTCATAATTAATAAAATACTCGATAAACTAAAACATGAGAAGCACTCACCATCTGCATCTTAGGAGAAGCACACCATAATGCACACATTTTGGTTTTCCAACTGGACCTGCTATAAAGCCCAGTAAGGAGGTCAGAGAGGGGCACACGAGAGGCTTTCCTGGCTAATAAAAGGTAATAGCCGGTATGTTGTGGCATCTGCTCTTAGGAGGACTTTTACAAGCACACAATGGAGTTCAGGTGCTGCAAAGCCAAAGCGGAACAAATAAAGCAACTGACACACCACTAGGGTGTGCTACACCCTGCCAAATGTTTCAAGGCAAAGGTAAGGGGAGATCTGAGAAAACGATTCCACAATGAAACAAGAAGCAGAGGAATATGTTCCCTCAGCCTAAAGTTTCTAGAACTTTGCAGGAGAATGCCATGTTGCTATGGGAGGGGGGGAGGTATCTAGAACAGTTCCACTGTCAGACAGGTCTCTCAACAAGGCCCAAATATCCTAAAAATGTTTAAAAACTACATTTTTGACAAGAAGACCAAACACAGAAGCAGCTAAGAACCACCATTTCTCACCAGTAGCTGCAGAATCGCCACCACCTTCTTCCCATTCAGACACATCTTCCATTTTGCTCCCCTCATCTTCCGGGTCGGCTGGATTGTCAGGAGAGTCAGCAGCCACGAGCCCGTCATAACTGGCAGAGGACTCGGAGTCGCTCCTGTCCTTCCTGTGGACACGGGAATGCAAGACGAGCTGGTGGTAGGTTTTAAATAACTTTCCACAGTCATTGCAGAGGGTTGACTTGTCCCGGTCGTTGGGAGGTTTGGTTTCAGCTTCTGCACAAGGTACCCCCACCGCGTAAATTTTCAAATCATCGGCATCCTGTACTACAGCACCCACCTCGCCATCTTCACTCTTAACAGTCTCAGTCTCTTCCGCATGGGCGGGCTGCGCAAGTTTAACGGTATTCCAGAACTCCGTCACCTCGTCTTTGTCAGACGACGAGTCCGTCTCCACGTTGGCTTCGAAGAAGGGTTCCTTCAGTTGGCCGTGGCCTAGGGCAACTTTGCCTTTCGTCGCCAGCTGCCACGACTGGTACGTGTTGAACGGGTCTAGCTCCCCGATCCATTTGCGAGCCGTTTCAGGTTTTGTATCCGCTGCAGAAGCAGGCTTTAGGTTCAAAAAGTTCAAAAAGGCCTCCTTGGGCATTTGCACGCCATCGTTGCCATTCACGTTCTCCTTACAGGAGGCGGTACCGGTTGATTTCCCTGCCAGCTTGGAGCCCTTGGTGTGCATTTTACTGTGCGCCAACAAGGTTTCTTTGTCAGGGAAGTAAAACCCGCAGACCATGCAGAGTTTATAAGGCGAGGTGAGGCTTTCGGTGACCTGCTCTTGTACGATCTCGTTGATTGTAGCGGGAGTCTCGGGAACTGGCTGGTGTTTGTTTTTCCCTCCCGCTCGGGTAGAATGAGTCTTTTTGTGATTTTTCAGAAACCATGGCTCTTTGAATCGCCTCCCGCAAATATTGCAAGAATACGTAAAGGAGTCTTTGTGCTTTTTCATGTGGGACTCCAGGTCGGAGGAGTCAGCAAAGGTTTGACCACATACTTCACAGTCCGAGCCTTCGTTCTCATGTTTAACATCCTCCGTCGGGGACCCTGCGCTCCTTCCACGTTTGTCCTGAGGACTGAGAAACTCCGCCTCCACGAGGAGAACCGTTGGCTCGCAGAGCGTCGGCCGATGTTTGGTCAACACGTGCTTGCCCAGGTCTTCGTGATGTTTGTAGGACCCGTCGCAGAACATGCAGTCGAACGTGACGGCTCCCTCCGCCGGTATCAAAAAGCTCTCTTGGAGGGTTTTTTGGGAGAGAAGGTTCCTACGCTTCATGGCACGGGAGGAACGAGAGCTTTCCATTTGTGAACAAACAGAGCTGCCTATACCATCGGGAACATCATCAAAATCAGCGAGGGACTGAATGGGCATCTTGACTGCCAGTTTTAGCACACTGTAGGCAAATATTCCCCCTTTTGGATCAGTGCAGAAGAACAAGAGATGTGCATTCAAGGATCAAAAAAAAAAAAAAAAAAAAAAAATTACC